CCCCAAAATAAAATAATGTATCTTACAGGATGTAGTGCAATTTTGTGTAATTATAGGGAATATACTTTTTGAGCCCCTCAAAAAACTGATTGTCATTCACATAGCTTGGAAATCAGTGATTCTTTGTGTATAATCATGTACAAAGGTTTTTGATAATTTTTGATACAATAGTCACCAGACTGCAACAGATGAAGCTATTAAACAGCAGCTGTAGCAGGTTTTGAAACTACCTTAAAAATCAGTGCAAGTTAGAATTAGACTCTGTATGTACTCTAATATTCCACTGAACCGTCTTTAGCTGTAATGCATGCATTTGTCTTGGCATCGCTTCAACAAGCTTATGCAGTGTCACAACATTAATTTTCATCCTGAGTTGCGTTAATTGTTCGCCAAGATTTTGTACTTATGAGGGAGTCGGACCGCTGCGCAAAGTGTTCTCCAGCACATACACAACATGATCAGTGGGGTTAAAGCCTGGAATCCATGGTGGCCAGTCCATGTGTGAAAATGATATTTAATGTTCCCTGCACCACTCGTCCACAAGAAACCCCAGCAACACTTGGGCAGGCATGCCCCCACAGGCTTGGACGGTATTAGGCATGATGGTTGCATCACTTCATCCCTTGTCTTCTTATCCTGATGCAATAAAAGACAACACGACCCTTTTCCATTGCTCCAGAGTCCAATCTTTATGCTCTATAGGCAAATAGAAGCCTTTTTTTTCCTCCACTGATATGTGGTTTTCTTAAGGCTGCACAGCTGTTTAGTCCAATTTCTCTTCACATTTTGCTTCTGGAAACACACTCTTGCTTTCATCAGTAACCATAAACAAAGCTGCAGGTTCTACTGTTGATTTGCTTTACAATTTGATTTCACTAAATATTTAAACAATCTCTGACCGTTTGATCATTCGAGTTTTCTTTTCTGACCATATTTGTTCCTCGAAGTTGATGGTAGTAATGCCGTGCACCGTTCTTAATATGATTTCTGTAGTTATAGTAAGTACATTTTAGTAGCTTGATGCAGGCCAGTAATTCAACCCATCTTTTTCACGACAACGGCAACCTGTTGCCAGCCCAAACAGATAAATCACTGTAGTAATGATCCAATGGAAAACTCCTAAAGTACCTATTTACTTAGATAAACCAAACTGTTGCCCTTTTTTGGGAACCTTGCAGTGTATATGGACTCACGACAAATTACTTAGAATAATCACCAAAAGATAAATTCTAATAAATTATTGGGAAATTGCAGAGTTGTAAGATAAAAAGTCAGATTATGCAAGAATGGCACTCAGTTTGATAACATTTAAACCAAGTGTGAAATATATAATAACAAATATGTGGCCGCCGTAGTATCTGTGTCTTACCTATGCAAACTATGTCCATGAAGCCGTACATGCCGTAGCATATCTGGAAGAGAAGGTCCTGCCGTTGCCATTTGGCTGAGGGGCTGAGAGAGGACCAAACCAACCAGGAAATACTTGCGATGAGGAACAGAGAGCCGAGGATAATGGCTGCAATCTGTACCTTCTCAATCACAGTCAGAGAGATGGCCTGCCACTGGATACAGACACAAAAACTGAGTGAAATTGTTTTTCAGATAGAAACTGCAAACTGCTTCTTGATTATGTGAGATAATAGCACAGAGTTTGAATCGTTGCCGTACATCTAAAGAGGCCCTGGTTTTTTATCAGCACATATTTCCCAGATGGTTTCTGTGATTTCTGGAGCATAATCACTGAATCTCACAGGCAATAACAGCAATTGTGTTTTGCAGGTTTGAAAGTGGATTTGAGGATAATCCGATCTCCATAATGAAACTACAGACTCTTCTCTGCTGCACCTTTTTGAAAGAGAATAAATTACTGGAAACAAAATTATTCTTCGTAAGTTTCATTATCTCTTCTCTTTTTTGTCCTGCTACAAAAGAAAACTCAAAATTTGTCAAAATTGGAAGCATGTCTACTCCTGATTCTGACTGTAACTAATCATAACTACGGTACTGTGGCATTTATTAATTTGTCATGTATTAGCCAGTATGGAAGAACAGTAATGATGGCACATTCTCCAACGTAGCATACGGCGTCTCTCACACAGAAAAAGGACACAGGTCGAATATGTTCTGTCATTTCCTTCCCCTGGCCCCAGACCAGTCAAGGCAGATGGCTGCCCCTCCCTCACTCCGGTCCTGCCGGAGGTCTCATCCTGATAAAAAGGAGATCTTACTTTCCGCCTCTGCCAAGTGCTTGCTCACAGGAGATCATCAGATTATTGGAGTTTCCTTTCTAAAATTATAGGGTCTTTACCTTGGATTAGAAAGCTCCTTGAGATGGCTGCTGCTATTAGCATTAAGATGCTGAAATCACTTAGACCAAATCATTCAACTCTTTCAAATGTGCAGTGCCTCATTTTATTGTTCTTGGCAACCTCCGCCTGCAAGCCCTCAATCCTCACTGTTTTCTTCTCCATTTGTTCATAGAAACCCTAAAAATAGCTCTGTGAAAAGTATGGAAAGCTACTGTGCTTTCTGTTGGGAACCGTTGCAAGTTTACTGAACAGCATGAGTTCAAAATGACTGGGAGCCTGAGGGGATGGTAATGTGAATACTTCATGGCCTCTACACAGTGCCAGCACATTGATTCTTAGATTACAGTGACCCCTAATGTGATTATCGTGCTCCTCTGCCAGTCAGTCACTCAAATCTGGCAAATTAACCTTTATTGATGGCTTTCGGCCATAAAACCATCAAGGACTTTATTCTTGTAGCAATTCTAAATCCTACAGGAAGGTTTTACACTGTTAACATTAAAACAGTAAGAGTAGAACAAAACCACATTGACCATACCTGCAGTGGGTTTTTGGTTCTAATGGCCAACACCTGGTACTTAAAGTAGCAGAGCTCACAGCTCCAGGAGCCTCTCTCACTGATCCAGCGGATAAGGCAGGACTGGTGGGTACAGCGCACTGAGCCATCACAGCGACAAGGGCTCAGCAACTCCCCCTGCAGGATGAAACATTAAGTGCATGAAATAGCCTTCCACAGAGCCTTCTGTAGGGTAAAACTCCCACCGAATGAAGATTTGAGTCACACAGTTGACAGTAAAAATGGGAATAAAGATCTCTATCATTGATTTTGATTTTCACAGCTTTAACAATGTTCCTGTTGTGTTTTACCTGACGAAGACATTGTTTGAGGGCATCTCTGGGTCACAGACCTGTCTGGAGCAAGTACCAACAGATAAAATAATTTACTGTTTCTGGTTGGCAAGAAGGGGGGTGGTAAATGTTTGAGTTATGCCAGTGGGTTTTATAGGGTATGTGTGGCGTAGTTACAAATACTGTGAATTAAATCAAGACTGGACTCGTACTCCGTTGCAGACGGCTGCAGACACCGTGGATGAATTGTTATTCTATATTATCTACAGGTCTGCTTTCAGGAAGAGTACACGGTTAGCGAGTCTGCAGTGTTGTGGTTGTGCTGGCTCAATCGTGGTCACTGCAAATTGGATGCATGTCCACTAAGATATACATCCACTGACCTGTCAATGTAGAACGTGTAAAGATACTTACAGTTGTGTTCTGCTTTAATATGGAGTTAAAAACTAATTACACTTGTTTTGCCTTGACTGATAAGCACTGCCTGTACATGTAACCTCACAGTGTTGTGTTATCTGTCTCAGTAGTGAACAGGATCCTGTAACTCCAGCCTCTCCTTTGGGAACCATCTTAGAGTTTGTTGACTCTTCCTACTCTTTCTGACAGCTTGGAGTGATTCTTTACTTGGCAAGCTTTGCTGGCATTTCATACTGAACATTATTTGGCTTTTTCAGCCTGCTGCTGTGCTGCTGATGCTTTGCTACTCTCTTTTTGTGGTGAAGTTATCAATAGCCAGTAAGGCTTTTTTTGTTGTTGTTGTTGTTAAAAAAGGAGAGTTTTTGAAGAACTTCTAGGAAATTATTACTTATGGGAAGGTTTGTGGTTTGAACTTTGGCTCCTCCAGTCTGCATGTTGATCTATCCTTGGTAAATATACCAATGGAAATGGAATGGAAATGCAGTACATAGGGTTAAAAAACAGAGTTGGTATTGCATAGTTGGTCAAAATCTGATGGTACTGCATTCATAATTCCATCAATTTTGACCAAATCCCCAGCATCACCAGCTAAACCATGAAAGAGCCTCTGCTGTGTGTTACAAATGCCTGCAGACACTCACTGTTGTACCTTTCTCTCCTTTTTGAGCCTTTTTTATTAGTGAATGATTTATAGGTCAGTGTTAAAAGGTTCAGCACACACAAACAACATTCCTCTGAAAATATTCAGGTACACGGACCGGTCTGAAAATGAGTGAAGGAGCAGCCAAAGTCCAAAAAAATAAGAGAAAAAGACAAACTTTGAAAGACCAAGAAAGCCTGGAGAACTATTGCTTAAGACCACTTTAAAAATGACAAATAAGTCTGGCTTCTTGGAAGAAAAAATTAAAGAAGCAAGAGGCGGCTCAAGATTTTTGCACAGTGTATAGTATATATGTGCTGCCTGCCTTAATATTGTGCGCTTAAGCGATTTCAAACATGAATTCACGATGACACTATGTGATATTCTTTGACTATATGCTTCCTAAGACCTTTATCTGAATACACTTACCTTTCTATACTTTCCCCTTAAAAGAAAGCACAGGATATCTGTTGCAGGTTTTCATTGTCAGCATGACTCCCTAAGGCTTTGGACTGACAACACTCTTGCACATCTTCATTTATTTCCTGTCTGACTCTGGGTGACGTGCGAGGCCTTTAATTATGTGGATTTCTGGAGGCGAACCAAAAACTTTACGGACACCTCCAGCAGAGTCTGTCTGTGGGAGACACTTTCACTGTACTTTGACCTTCCTGTAACTAAAACACATGATCAAAGGTTTGATCCCTTCATTAATGGTTTCTGCTACAGAGTCAGAGTTATTAAACAGATACTGCCCTTCGAATCCCTTAAAATAACAATGAGCATAGATTGATTTATTTTCATGCTGAGAAATCCTTATTAAAACCTTTCTTTATTGCTTTTTTAAAACAGCCTAATTTTGTGCATCAGATGCTGAATCTGTTTCCGTAAAGACTTCACTACTTCACACAGTACATATAAAGCTCCTCCCTTTTCTCTGAGACTATTCTTAACTGATGCCCCTTGTCTGCCCACTGCTATTTTCAGATCGCTGTTGATAGATAGTTCCCCTATTTTAGTCTTACTCTCTCTGTCTTCGTTCTCTCTCTCTTTTTTAAACTTCAGAGCAGATGTGATGCAGTCTTCCAGATACTGAAAACAAGTTGAAACTGATCTACAGTAACTGACATGTTCTCCATGTGTTTGCAAAGGAAACACATGGAATCCTTACCACACCCATGGCACATAAATGAAATCCTTACTGGTTTTACACATCAAGATTGCCTTAAAGGTCCTCGGGAGCACTTTTGCATTTGTGAAAAAAGATGTTATCACAGGTTATATCTGGCAAGCAATACAGAATTGTCTGTTGACGTACTCTCAGACTTTGGGGGCAGTGGGAATACTGAACTCCTTCATACCTGAGCATGAAAAATAGCCTTAGATTATTTGTTCACTCTTTTTAGTAACACAAGGCGACTATATGTACAGTTTCACTATGCAAACCTGAATTGACAGTTTATTATGCTGAATCTTGACTCTTATGTGACTCCAGTAAAGGCTGAGGGGCTTTATTTGTGTGTGTCAGATGATAACACTTACTTACTAGTCCTCAGCAGCTTCAGGAATTATCCCCTGCTCCTAGCATTACACACCCAAATCTCTAACTGAGTTGCATTGTGAGTAATGTGCAACACTTTTGGAGTTTCAGTCCTCACTGGTAAAGTAAAAATCTGGAGATTTCACCCTCTGCAGCTTTATCGGCTGTTCCCTTATTTTCCAAGCAGATGGATCTATGTGTTTGACTTCTTGACACAACCTTTATAACGACTTGGGATGGGCATTAGAAGTACACTTGTTGTGACTTCCTGAGAACCAGGAATTGTTCACATTTCATGTAAATGTGTTAACCATTAGACCTGCTCCAGGTTTGACCATTCATTTAGTCTGCCTCTAGGTAAATCACACTCAAGTAAAGCATTTGAGTGCATAAAGAAAGAGCTTGAGTACACTGGGCTAAATGCAGCTCAGGCTGGTGGTAAACTTTAAAGATCTGGCTTCAACTTCTTTACTCTTTTGGACAATGAGTAAATTTTCTAAGCAAACGTTCTCCATGTATCCGGTGGAAACTTTTCTGAGCAACTTGTCTTAAGACAGTTTCTTCAAGTGATTAGAGAGAAGCACCATGAACAAGCCACTGCTAGAGGCTCCAGTTGTGTTTGTTCCTCCAGCACCAATACCTTCTTTTTTCTAACTTTACCTTTTCTGGCCCCTGGAAGCAGATCCGGCACTGCGGTGATCGCGTCCCGCTCTCTGAGAGACTCGGGAGTGAAGCAGCATCCATGTTTCCTACTCCTCCTCCCTGAGGTTTGGCACCTTCTTTATCCTCAAACGCCAGGCTTCGTGGCCGGAGGTCAGAGCCATAGTACTCCTCCTCGTCGTCCCGCTGAGAGCAGCTCAGCTGTGGCCAACCACAGCCTCCAATAGCGAGCCCTCTCATCGTGGTCTGTGTGTTCGGGTCAGTGTCCGTCCTCCTGCTTGATCCAGAACGCATCAGTAGCAACACTTTGAGTTCATTAAAGAACATCCGGATGCGATACTTAAACATTCTTCAGCAGCTTTACTACACAGCCACAAACAGAGCAACCTTCAGCTTTACTGTCACAGTCCCTTCATTATTATTATTATTATTATTATATTATTATTATTATTATTATTATTGTTGTTGTTGTTGTTGTTGTTGTTGTTGAGGTATTGAATTGATTCAAGTAGACAGTTCAAATCTTACTGAATAAAATTCAGATCTGAATTGAGAAAGCATGCGACTAACATGATAGGCTATTAGATCAGCCCATAGCTCTTTGCATATCCTGTTGTTATAGCATGTGCACCGCAATCCAGCCAATAGGGAAGGATTATTTTTCATGGACAGAGGCGTTTTCTTTCGGGATTCAATGGAGGCTGAGAGCCACGAACTGTGAGGCACAAACATTAAAGTCAGAGTAGTCCAGCAGCATCCTCTTACACGTCTCCATCCCGCTCGCTCGCTGATATCGCAAGGTTCAAACGGGTCATCTCGATGTTGTGAATCACAAGGAGCTGTCCGAGGTTTGCCACAGAATGTTTTCTTCTTCTTCGTGCGGAAACAGCGAGGGTGTCTGAGGTGTGGGGTTGATGCCGAATCCTATTACCAACTAAGTCCAATCCGATTTATATTTGAGTTTCTCATTTACCCACAGAGCAGGTAGAATTACACGAGGTGACAAGCGTGCATCCTTTGTTGTCTGGCAGTGGCATCCGTCACTTCGCCACTCTTTCCTCCTGTTCGCTTAGCCCTTTCCCCCCTCTCTCTCCTTCTCTGCTGTTACATCGGGCGGTGGGGGAGCTCGTCCCGCACTTTCTCCCCTTAAGCAGGTCCGACAGCCAGATTATAAAGTTAGAATCCAGCGGGGTTCAATCTCAGCGGAGGAAGCGAAGAAAATAACATCACATGAAAAAAAACAAAACCCTTTCACAGCAACTTGTAATGCCACTTCTTTTCCCGACCATCTCTGCGCCACAAATCAGGGAGAGCGAGAGGATGCCAGATATGGATTCCTGTGAACACAAAAAGAGCAGACCGCAAATGTCCCTTCCGGGTTGCTAAAAAAAACTGCACCTCCTCACTTATTTAGCAAATCATATAAAGACCCCGGAGAATAGGCGAGACAATGAAGTGCCACTTCACCTGGCAGACTGTAGTATAGTGTCTCCTTCATCATAATCCCAGGATGCTCAAATTCGATTTTCAGAAGTTTCGCATGCACGTCAGCTCAAACCACCCAAACTTCGTTATCTGTATAGTTTCCTATTTTTAAAAAAGACCTTTGCTTCTTGCAGCTAAGAAGAAATTATCTCCATCCTTCATTGGTGGTGTAGCTGCTGACTGTGGCTGCTGTCCAAGGTGCTGATATTCATGTGACGTTAAAGCCACGTGCTGTTATTCGTCTGCTGGTTGAGAAAAAAAAAACAACTATTGTAATAATCCAGTGAGTGAGTGTATGTGTGTGGTTGTGAGCTGGTCTGGTATTACCCATGTTGTGGGGACCTAAATCTACTCAAACAGTCAATTTATAGGGACGTGTCTTTCTTCTGGGGACAAAAAACAAAGTCCCCTCAAGGAAAATCATTGAATTGCATGGAGGTAATGAAATGTCCGCAGAAATCATGGAAGCCCAACAGTGTGTGTCTAACAACCAGAACAAAAGCTCTCCAGGGTTGAAACAGTAGAAAGTGTGCATATAAGATGATTTAACAGATTCATCATTCACAGGAACATAACAACACAGCACAGATAATTGTTTCAGAGGAGACAGTGTACGGTTTATTATTAAATAAATAAACATGCTCTCTGTTCTCCCATTACAAGAAGCAGCGATTGGGCCAGAGCAAAAAGGCAGATTCAAAAGATGGAATGTTTCACTAGAATGAAAAAGCTTTATTTATTATTTTCTCATGAGACTTAATCACAGGGGCTGGAGGGAAAACTAGAGTCAGTGGTGAGGAATCCACTGCAACAGAGGGAAAAGTGAGTTAGTTGTGGATGTGATTAGTTTTTACCTTTGTTCGGCAGATTTACGGGGGTTCGACAGGTGCTTCCAGGAGCAGAGAGGCAGCTATGTAAGTGATGTGATCTTGAGTGATACTTTCTTCAGTGATCGATTAAGGAATGTACTGCATTACTTTTAAGAAAAATAACAAATAAAATGTTATTCATTACTTTTTTTGAGTAACAACCCCCAGTACTATTTACAGCACAGTGGTGAGTTTTAGCTTAAAAATACAATGTTTTATAATAAAAACTGTAAAAGTATATTTTGTAAAAGGAAGTCTAAAAATCGCCCTGATTGGTGATCTGTCCACAAGGTCCCTGATAGCTGGGATAGACTGTTTTCTTACAGTCGTGTAGAGAGAACTGAAGCATGTCTGCATGGACTCTGAGAACATCAGTGTGTCGTCTATTCGATGTGACAGGGACCAAGAGTTTTGACTGCACAGATTGCAATGAATATTTTGAGCCATAGGTCTTGGACCTGAACAAGTAGATGCAGCCAGACTGCTCGGTAATGTCCTAAGTATAAAGAGGTCATGTAGTGAGATCAGGAATTATTACTCACATTTATTATAAATCACATTTTTATGACACAGTTTGTTTTAGCACATTCAAGCTCACAGCTGCCACACTTTCACCCAAACCTCACCTAAAACAACTGCAAGGCTTCTGTGTAGGTGCAGATGTTGTGGTATTTATTTAGACTACATGAAACTGTGCGTGCAAATGTGCATTTGTCATTATTTATTTTGGTATTAAATAATTTTTTAATTTATGGCTTTATGTGTTTCTTAAAGCAGCCACTGTTTCCCATTTTGACAGCGTCGCACGAAGATGCAAAGCTGTCAAGAAGGCATGATTTCATTACCTGGTAAGGTGACAGAAGAGCTTCTTCGGAGTTTAATTGGCACCGTTTGTGTTCCAGTTTAACCAAACTATCTCATTCACATCAGCTGATTGTGGAGGCCAGGTCGTCTGATGCACCACAACACCTGGAGGCTGTGCAAGGGCCACAGGTTCACCTGGTCTGTGATACATAAAGCCATGGTAGCTGGAAACATAAATCTAATTGGACCAAAGCACATACTTTGGTCTTCAGTTCAGCTTGTGTTTCTTGGCCCAAGCAATTTTCTTCTTATTATGGAGCTCCCTGGGTAGTGTGTGCTATTTGAACTGTGGGAAGCATTGGGCTGTACTCTGAGGTGCTAGTAATAGGCTATTTGAGGCTGGTAACCAAACTTTCATCAGCCATTGTGACATGAAATAGTAGGCAAGCACGGGTGTTGCTAATCACATTAATGAAGGTTCAGTTATTTTTAGGTCCAGATCCAGTATCTTTAATGTGATTAGTAACATCTGTGCTTACCTACTACTTTAAGTCAAAATGGATTTTGTGAAAGCAGACTGTCATACTGAACAGTTTGACAGTTACTTTGATTTTATAGAACAAAGGATCTTCTTATTGAAAATGACATAAACCTCCTTGAGAAGTAAATCAATCATTTGAAGAAGGAATATAGAGAAAAGTGATCCTTCTTAAAAACATAAGAAGTCTAGTCTGAGGTGATGAAACAAAGCAAAAACAAATAAACAAAAATCAACAACTAGACAAATTATTCCAACGAGATAGAGCTTCTTTTTTTTTTAACCTTACTTAGATACAGAGAAGACATGAAAGAAACACTGATGACTTGCTTTTTTCAAGATGCAATTAATACAAATTCAGTTTAGAGTAGATTATGATACCCAAATATTTTTTTTGTCCTTTCAAAGTGTTCCAGCACCATTACTGGTTAAAGCAAAAGATTTTGATTAGAGGTCGAGGTTCTGCCTCTTACTAATGAGCGCTCAGTAAGGTTTGTATTTATTAAGCAGTAGTTTGTTTGCTCAAATCTACATTTGTAGAATATTAAAACTGAATTGCAGTGCTTCTTGAACTTGTAAAACCTTTTTTAAAATATAATACTGTTATCTGAATAATTTGTGTTTTAGAGTTAGCAGAAAAATAAAGGTTCAAATCATTAATAATATCAGAGAAAAGAAACGGTTTCAAGGTAGAACCACGAGGCACCCCTCACTGCTGTAATCAAATCTCATTTGCGCTCATGCAAAAGAACAGTGCTTTTGATTATGCTTAAGTGTAGCTGTGAAAGATTAAGTAGCTACATAAGAAATTAATAATAACATACTTAATTATATGAGACTAATAATATAAACATTAATCCAAATTATGAATATAATTATTAATCTGGAAAGCCCTCTGTTATATCACAAATATCATAGATTAAATGTTAATGTTAATGTATGAATGTCACAAATTGGCTCTGTGTAGGCAGTAAAGGCCCCAAATGCAAACCCGC